TAAGAAAGAAAGTAAGAGAAAGAAAATAGATTGAAATCAAATCTCACGTGCGTACAAATAACAACAATTTTGGTTATACGATAATGAAGAGGGGTGTAAAAAGTAAGAGAAAAGAAAAAAAGAAAAAAATAAATAAATAAAAATAATAAGAAAGAAAAGAAAAGAAAAAGTAAATCAAATTCGTTTAGAAAAGTACATGAATAAGAACGTATCAATAAAACGGAAACTAATTAGGTGGATTCGAAGTTTTAACGAAGCACTTAATTGCTTTACTACGGCACGTTGAGAAATATCTGTGCTGTGAGAAATATTAAGAAAAAGAAAAAAAAATGAAAGAAAGGAATAAGGGGAAAAGATGAAATAAAATCAAGGGAATAAAAGAAAAAGAGTAAGAAGAAGAAGAAGAAGAAGAAGAAGAAGAAGAAGAAGAAGAAGAAGAAGAAGAAGAAAGAGGAGGAAAAGAAAAAGAAAGAAAAATGTTTAATTAACCCCCTTTTTGGATGATAGAAATACTGACGCCATTATATGGCCAGTGACGAAAGAATATTTCTTTTCAAATATACGCGATGTGAAAGTTCGTTACGTTTGAAAAAGGAAATGCTTTTTTTTATCTTTCGTCTTTTCCTATAATATATATAACGATATACAGGGTGTTTCAAATCTAAATGAAAAACAAAAATACGCGTCTATCATTTTAAGAAATAATTATTTTGATAATATAATATATAACGAGAAAGGGGAAGAAAAATTAAAATCAAATGATAACGCGATTATTAAATCCATTAAAATAATTGAATTTTTGTTACAAGTAAAATTAGTAAATATATATTTATATACAATAATAGTATGAATTTAAAAAAAAAATATATATATAAAATAATAGTATGAATTTAAAAAAAAAAAATGATTTATCTATTAATGGGGATAATATATTTTCTCGAGTTATTCATTCGCATTCGTAATTGTTATAATTTTTCTTTCAAAATCCATTATTTTTCACGTCCACCCCTTTTCTTTAGTATTTGAAACAAAGTTTCTTTTTTTTTTTCTTTAACAGTGGGAAGCTTTAAATTTGGGACACCCTTTATAAAAACGTTACCAACATTAGTAGTAGTAGTAGTAGTAATAGTAATACTAGGTTTCTTTATCGTGCTTCACACGTCGTAGATTTTCGCACAATCTGCCAAAGGTTACACAGAAGAAACTGGAAGATGTTCCAGAAAAAGAGAAAAAAGAGAAAGAGAGAGAGAGGGAGAGAGAGGGAGAGAGAGAGAGGTCGCAATATAATCCGAAGAAAATCCCACGATACGTAGCGAGTGTGTGTTGTGAAAAATCAATACATTCCAAGTCTTCTCTCTCTCTCTCTCTCTCTCTCTCTCTCTCTCTTTCTCTTTCCCTCCCTTTCTCCCCCTTTCTATTCTGTTTCATCAGCGATTTTTTTCCGTATCGATGATTTTTTCCGCGTTAACCGCAACATTTCAAAGAAAAACGAGAAAGCTATTCGTAAATGATACACTCTAGCAAATGATACGAAAAAATACGATTAGCTTTAATAAGAATTGGGGTTAAACCCCACCCACCCCTCCATTGCCACCCGTTTGAAATATATTTGTCGATTTTTCTTTCTTTCTTTTTTTTTTTTTTTTTTAATAATATCGTATCTCGTTGAATTTAATCAAATATTTTTATGTTATTGTAATTTGTGTAATTTAACGATAATTTGATTTAATTGAAAATTTTTCATTTACATACATTACTATATTATTATATAATATATATCTATTCGATAAATCGATGATCGAGATAATAAAAAAAAAAAAAAAAAGAAGAAAAGAAAAATTCAACATGTATCTAGTATAATATGATTAATATACACATCGCACGGTGAGGTGGGGGTGGGTGGCCGGGGGGTAGTTTAAAGGTTACTCGAAACAATCATTTATCCATTATTTTAAATTTAATCAAGCTTTCGCGAGAATCTAAATATATTTCG